TCCTCCCCCCCCTCAAAAACAGGGGGAAAAATATCTTCAGGGAGGATAAAAAATAAAAAATAAAAATCAATGGAAAAATATCCTCACCCAAGGATTAAAAAAAAACAAAACAAAAAAACACAAACAATGGTGCTTTATAGTGGAGGTATAGTGCTCACCTCTGCTGAGCCTTCTTTGACTGTGATGCTATTCTTCATCTTGAACTTGAACTTGAAGTGCTTAATTAATGACATTCATATTTCTTTTCCTCCGCAGGATATGAAACAATTTGAAGCAGAGCTGAAGCACCTACAAGTGGCTCTGGAGCAAGCCCAGACAACCCTGGCTTCCCCGGAAGTGGGACGCCTTAGTCTCAAGGAGCAACTCTCTCATCGACAGGTGAGCAAAATCAACCCGGGGAGCTGAGCGGGAGCCTAGATTTTTAAAAGAGGAGAGTGAGGAAAAAAGATTTTTAAACTCAGTTATAGTCTTAGCTCTGTATGCTAAGTGTTTTTTAAATGTTTTAAATATATTTTTTATTGATTTCAGAGAGGAAGGGAAAGGGAGAGATAGAAACATCAATGATGAGAGAGAATCATTGATGGGCTGCCTCTTGCCTGCCCCACACTGGGGATGGAGCCCACAACCCCGGCATGTGCCCTGACCGGAATCGAACCATGACCTCCAGGTTCATAGGTTGACGCTCAATCACTGAGCCACAACTGACCAGGCTCTATGCATTGTTTTTGTAATATTTCTTGGAAAATGTTTATAACTTGTAAACACGCTGTAACTTGTCTCTTGCTTATGAGAGAAAGTCTTGGGTATAAAAGTGTGGACTATACTCGCACTTTCAGCACCTGCTGTGTGAGGTGGAGTCGCTGAAGCCGAAGGTACATGCTGTGCAGACCTGCCAGAGCGCGCTCCGCATCCCCGAGGACGTGGTCACCAGCTTGCCGCTCTGCCACGCGGCCCTGCAGCTGCAGGAGGAGGCCAGCCGGCTGCAGCACGTGGCCATCCAGCAGTGCAACGTCATGCAGGCACGTGCGGGGGTCCCCACGCCAGCCCAGCAGCAGCCAGGGTCATGGCTCCTTTACTGAGCTTGTGAGGGCTCAGCCCTCAAAACACACCCAGAGTGTGAACTGTGACAGATGGTTGTGGTTCTGTAAAATTAGGGAATGAAATGGTATTATTTGGATCACCCATGAAAGCCTGGGGAAAGCTCTATAAAAAGATATCTGTTGGTGAACACTATCTTTTAGCGATATTTTTAGAACAACAGCTTATAAAGGTTAATATTCTATTTAGCCATATTTTTTGCCTCGATATTCATCTGAGAATCATCTAGAACCTTGAAATATGACTTTACTGCTAGCACATATTATAGAATTTTTTTCACATTTCAGCTTATTGTTGCACTAAATGCATTTTTGTGCCTGAGAAGTGCACCCAAGTATAACTATTAGTCTGTTTAATAAGAGAAAAATCATTTATTAGGAAAATATGATACTATTTACTTCATATCTCATTTCAACTCATGTTGCACCATTTCTTTCTTTCTTTCTTTTTTTTAAATCCTCACCCGAGGATATTTTTCCATTGATTTTTAGGGAGAGTGGAAGAGAGAGGGAAAGACAGAAAGAAATATCCATGTGAGAGAAACACATCGGTTGGTTGCCTCCCGTATGTGCCCTGACCAGGGTCCGGGCCGGGGAGGAGCCTGCAACAGAGGTACTTTCCCTTGGTCGAGATCGAACCTGGGACCCTTGGGTTTGCAGGCTAATGCTCTATCCACTGAGCCAAACCTGCTAGGGCTCATCTTGTACCATTTTTACCCAAAAATTATGTGCATATCCTCTCATTACATTGCTAATGGCCTCTTTGGTCAACTGTCCTTATTCCATATATTGTCATTTGTTTGGCAGTAAATTCCTGGGAATAGAAGTCACGCTGAAGTAATTTTTTATCCTCTACTCCAGCAGTTACCAAATGCCTTACATATATATTCAGTATTCTTAGATGGATAATCATTATGTTTTTACACTGTTCCTACCATGCCTGACCATGACGTTGCCATCTTCAGGACAATGAATAGGGGAAGATAGAGCATCTCGCCACTTAATTGGTTTGAGTTCCTGAGTAATCTTGGCAGCATGTTTTGGAGAGAAGGTTCTGGAACATCTGAGCAAAGTTGAGGCTTTGGATCACCTAGGAATTTTACCCATCATTTCGTTATTCCCCAGACACACAGGTGATAGGAGTTCAGTCTGTAGTTGGCTGACAGCAGCACAGCATTGCTTCCCCAGCTACTGATATGGAAAGATAAGGCTGTGGCCTTTTTTCCCCCATAGGAGGCTGTGATGCAATATGAACAATATGAACAAGAGATGCAGAGCCTCCAGGAGCTGATAGAAGGAGCCCACAGAGAGATCGAGGATACGCCCATGGCCACCAGCAACATCCAGGAGCTGCAGGCCCAGATTTCTCGGCACGAGGTGAGACAGGAACACAGGAAGGGGGGCAGGACACTGGCTGGATTAGAATCTGTGACTGGTTTCCAGTGAATGAGAGAGAAAGGTTCTCCCAGTCCCGCACATACGTGTTCGGTTCTTGGGCAGTCTCATGGGCTGTGTTTGCATTTTGAGGCCTACTGGCATGAATCTTCCCCCCACATGCACACTTTTTAAAAAAAAAAAATGTTTTCATTGATTTTTAGAGAGAGAACAAGGGAGAAGAATTGATCGGTTGCCTCCTGCAGACCCCCTACTGGGTATCAAGTTTGCAACCCAGACATGTGCCCTGACAGGGAATCAAACCTTTGACCTCTTGGTGCATGGGAGGACACTCAATCTACTGAGCCCTGCCCACTGGGTGAAAAATTGATTTTTTTAGGTGATTTCCCAAGTCCCCAGATCTAGTTCCTCAAAGAAAACAGATTCTAATCTAGTATTTTGGGCTCCAAGTTAGTTTTCACTGCAGCAGGATCTATCTGGGCTACCTCATTGCCCAAAAGAAAAGAATGATGGGCCCAGAAACAAATGACCTGCCCAAGGTCATGAAGCTGGTTCCCAGCACAGACAGCTGCCGACTGTTCTGGCTCCTGATCAGAGATCTGCTCATTTTGTCACATTCTCTGCTCATCCCCCCCCCCGCCAGTTCTAAACATCAGTGTAGACAAGTGTTAGCTTTGTCATGGGATTTAGAATAAATCTTCAAATCAATGATGGCCTAGCCCTGGGCAGGGCTCATTGTATGTATAAAACAAACACAGGAAGGAAAGTGCTGAGAGGAGTAAACCTGATTTGCGATAACATGAAAGTTTGGAAGAATGCTTCTTCCTGTACTTTCAGTCTGCTGTTAATAGAACCAAATCTTGATGAGAGCCTGATTTCCTTACGGATAACTTGAGCACGTAGGGTAACTGATAACTGATTCATTTCCCATTTTTTTCTGTGATTTTTCGAATGTTGCATTTAATGAGAACATTATCCTGCCACTTTCAAATCATAGGAGAGCACACACAGGCCTGCTGCTGTCCACCTGGCCTAGGCCTACCCCTGAGTGCAGGGGGCAGCCACAGAGGGCAGCTCTCCTTGGAGTAGCCACTGCTCCAGAAATCCCCACGGATATGCTCATTCTTTATAATCATTTTCAGAAACAACCAGTAAAAATTAAAAACACATATGCTTTCTGAGAATAGGGAACAGGTCAACCCAGTCGGTGCTCCATTTTAACAGAGCAGACTTGACCACCAACCCACAAAGTTAATGGGAGATAGGCAGGCTTATCTTAGGGAAGAAAGTTCTGGAGAGCTAATTCTGCTCTCAGTCACGTAGGGTAACTATATAGTGCAGATTCTCATGAGCATAGGAAATCAATGTCTTTTGGAGACCAGAATTGCATTTTTTAAAAAAATCTTTATTGTTGAAAGTATTACATATGTCCTCTTTTTCCCCCCATTGACCCCATCTAGCCTGCCCCACCCCCCACCCCACACTATTGTCTGTGTCCATGGGTTATACATATATGCATACAATTTCTTTGGTTGATCTCTTGAATTGCATTTTTAACAAACAACCCAGATGAGTTTTACACACAATTGAGCTGAGAACTGCTTAGGCCATGGGTGTTTACTGTCAGTGTGGGCACCCGCTGGTGCTGCAGTCTTGACGGGCAGTGATCATCCATGTGGCACAAAGGGCGGAAGGACTAAGACTCACTGTGCTTCACAAAGATTCCTCTCACCTACCTGATGGGGCAAGCCATTGTAAGAATGCGCGAGGATTTGTCCTATGGGAACAGAACTCAGGGAGTACAGTGAGCTGGTAGTTGTCTTTTACTAGTGTATGTGCCTGTTAACTAATTATTAATAGAGTACCCATGTGTTAGGCATGAGACCAGATATATAGTAAATAGCAACTTAATCACTACTGTACTTTTAAAACTGTTAGGTTTGAGTATCTAACAGCCTTAGTAGGTAAAGAAGTGATGATTCCTACTTTTTAAATCCTTGCTTGAAAAGTCCCTAACTATTCTAGATGTCAGAAGATCAGGCCAAAATGACAATAATAACAAAATGGTACACTGTGTGTGTATGCATATATGTATACACATACACGTCCATATACACAGACATATGCACACATGTATGTCATTTTTTATTGTTGTCATTTTGTTTGTTTCTGAACTTCAAGTTCAAAGCTCTAGTTTGAATGTCAGTGTTTTTAAAATGAGTGTATGTATACAGATCTGTATATACTCACTCATTTGAAAGACACTGACATTTAATATCTTTGCCATAAACTGTTTTGTACAAACTTTTTAGACAAAGGAGCCAAATACAAGGAATAGGAAAAAGTAATGGTGTTGTAGTTTTTAGGAATAAGTTTTAGAATATACACTTTCATTTTTTAAAAGAAGTAGTCATCTTTTAAGTAAGAATATAATGTCAATATTTTAGAATTATAGTTCTAACTTATTATTTTAGAATGTCAATATTTTAGAATTTTTAATAGCTGTGTGCTGTCCAGAATATATTTTCAATAAGCTCCTGGTAAAAGGTTTAAAACCTCTATCTCTCAAGACAATTTTTTCAACAAGAAACGTATTTAAAAGCTATTAAATTTGAGCTGAATAAGTTCAAAGCTCTAGTCTGAAGCATCAGAAACATGTGAGGCCTGGTAGAGAACATGAGGGAAATTTTGATGAATGCAAAAAAATTTTATTTGGGGAGTCATCTGCATTAAAAAATTAGGCTTTGGTATGTAAATATTACGCTAATCTACAAAAACAACTCCCAGGGACACAAGAATGGCAAGCAGTCTGCTTGCTGCCCAGGTCTGCACAACTGACTGCTCTATTGGAAATATTCAGTATAGAGCTGAGCTTTGCATTTTTTTGTAATTTTAGTCATCACATGACCTGATTTCCATGGCATGAACCATCTGGCAGTGACAGGTTCTTCAGGCGCTGGAAAGAGAGCGGCAGGCTCTTCAGGTTACATAAGTTCCTGACTGCGCACGCAGCATCCCTCGGGGTTAGGATCCCTGGCCGGAGCCTGGGTGTCCTGCCCAGCGGCTCTGGCCCCTCTGCGCCCCGCGCGGTGGTCCGGCTCCGGCACCCAGCGCTGCAGGCAGGCTCGCTGCCCCTCGCCGTCCACATCCTGCCTCCCACCGCGGCTGCCGCCAGGCTCAGCGCTGCCATCTCATTGGCCAGCCCTGGAGGAAGATGAACGCGGCTCGCTGTTTCCTTTTGATGCTGCTCTGACACTCAGGGGGTGGGAACATGTTTCCTCAGGAGCTGGCTCAGAAAATCAAGGGCTACCAGGAGCAGATCGCCTCCTTGAACTCCAAGTGCAAGATGCTGACAATGAAAGCTAAGAACGCCACCATGCTGCTGACGGTGACGGGGGTGGAGGGGCTGGCGGAGGACTTGGACCGGGAGCTCCTCCCAGCCACCTCCGCCCACCCCTCTGTGGTCATGGTAAGTAAGGGTCAAGGCCAGGTTTGCTGGCGCCCTGCACTCTCTCTCTCTCTGACTGCACCCTGGCTCCTGGCTCCTGGCTCCTGGCTCCTGGCTCCACGTTTACCCTCTCTGACTGCACCCTGGCTCCTGGCTCCTGGCTCCACGTTTAGTCTGGCTTGTTTTAGGGATCAGAAGTAGGTCTTGCCGAGGAGAAGTGAGGAACAGGCTCCTGAAGTCTCTGCTACATTTGGGCCAGAGCCAATATTTGACACCGTAAACAATGACAGTTGACATAAAGCTATTTGCTTGAGACTACTGAATTACTTAACATGCCGAAGGTCGGCCCTGCATTTGTTTATAACTGAGCAAGAACACCGAGAGGCTCTAAGTATTTAAAACAAAACAAAACAAAATACCTTTGCACAGTTTTCTAGTTTTCTGGGAGATGGGAGAAGCATGCTACATATATTGTGTGCTTTCCAAGTTAAAACATTGGCTGGCTAGATATGTGTGTTTAGTTGTAGAAATGTTTAGTAAAATATCGAAGAAGGGCTATTCTTAGAAAAATAAGAAAATAGCTTAAGCTTTGGATTAAAATAAAGAAGTTCCACTAATTTCTGCCTGCATTATTTCCCCATCACTTTGCATGTAAAATGCATGAATTATTTTGGTAACTCAGTGTGTTCCAGTGCTGTGTACTTCCCACACATATGTGCTGTGCCATGTCTAGTGCATAACCAATACTTAGGTGACATGTCCCTCAGGGTGCAATTGTCTTCTCAGAATATTTGAAATTTGAGCTGTACACAAAAGTCCAAGCTCCATTTGATAGACCCTTCCATCATGTGTACAATTCATGTTTTTTAAAAAAAATTATTTATAAAGGTACAAACAATCAAGAAAAGGAAAATAAATTAGAGAACTATTTCGTCAACCACAAAACTTTTACTCTGATATGCACCTGCTAGCCCTGTTTCTTTACAAATGGTTCCTAGCTTCATGTTCACCTGCACCACACTTTTAAATACTAACACACGTGTAACACGAGTGTGTATGAGATGCGGGTCTCAGTCATTCTAACCTTTGTTATGCTAGTATAATGATCTCTGACCTCTGCCTGACCAGGTCTTTTGTTGCACAGCTAATTGATTTTTAAATTAATTGACAGATGACTGCAGGTCGCTGTCACACTCTGCTCTCACCTGTCACTGAGGAGTCTGGGGAGGAAGGAACCAGCAGTGAGGTCTCCTCTCCGCCTGCCTGTCGCTCCCCGTCTCCTGTGGCAAACACCGAAGCTTCTGTGAACCAGGTACCTACCACCCGCTCGGGGGGGCCCCCCTCGCTGTGCTCTCTGGACGCCTGCAGGACCTCATTCCTGTCGGGCTGAGGGTGTGAATCCTGGCCTTTGAGGAACACACCGTGAGGTGTGACAGTTGCACAAGCTGTGATTGTCATGTGAGACCACTCCTGGCTTTCCAGGTCATCTCCTCTCCAGGGCTCCTGGCAATGAGATGAGCAAAAACTGGGTCACAGAAATGATAGCTGGAGAAGGCTCTGTTTTACAGCATGTGGCTCCGGTGTCTGACAGCTCTCGGTAATGGAGCCCTGCATCCTAACAGAAAAGGAAATGTTTATGTCGCCCATGTAAAATAACGTGGTTCTATTGCTCTGTGAATATGTGTTGACATTAATTTTGACAACTACCAGCTCAGGTTTTTTAAAATATATTTTTTTATTGATTTCAGAGAGGAAGGGAGAGGGAGAGAGACATAGAAACATCAATGATAAGAGAGAATCATTGATCAGCTGCCTCCTGCCTGCCTCCTATTGGGGATGAGCCCACAACCCAGGCATGTGTCCTGACTGGGAATCGAACCGTGACCTCCTGGTTCGTGGATCGACGCTCAACCACTGAGCCAAATCAGCCAGGCCCAGCTCAGATTTTGAAGCTGGAAAACTTCGGTTCGTCATATCATACTTTTGTTTCATTTACTAATGGTCATCCAATTTAAAGGTCTGGCTGCCGGTTTATATATTAGAATGCCCAAGTAGATTTGAGCTTTTACACTTATCATTCAATAATCTTAAATTTTATTTTTTTTATAAAATAGGAACAATGCCTTGTTTTGAGATGCCTTTTATCACACATTATATTAAAATAGATTCTATAAAAGTATGTCAAAATTTTTCATGGAAATATTAGATAGAAATAAAAAAGACACTCATACAATAATCAACAAATTTTAAGGCATGTTGAGTAATGCTACCTTTTTCTCATTTAGCCAAAACAACTAAACATTATTTAAAAAATTGTGTTACTATAAAATTACGTAAATAAAATAAAGAAAATTATGTAAATGTTCTAAGAGGTTTAGCTGTATTATCAAGGAAGAAATATTAAACAGAGAGCCCGAGCTGGTGTGGCTCAGTGGACTGAAGGGTCCCTGGTTCAATTCCAGTCAAGGGCACATGCCCAGGTTGCGGGCCCGATCCCCAGTGTTGGGCATGCAGGAAGCATCCAATCAATCATTCTCATCATTGATGTTTCCATCTCTCCCTATCCCATCCTCTCTGAAATCAATACAAATATATTGAAAAAAATATTACAGAGAGCAAAGGCTCTATTAACTATATTACAAATTGATCATACTTTTTAAAATTTTAAAGCAGAAGCATTCAAAATAGGGTTTCTGTGATAAAGACAACCCCTCCTCCCCCCAGAAAGGAGAATAAAATTGATGACGCCTTTAGATGAACAGTTCTCTTGGTTAAAATCTCTATAGTTTGAGAGCAGTTAGCGGTTCATCCATTCATCAGCTACATCCTGAGTGCCTGTTCGGAGTGAGGTCTTGTGCCGGGTCCCAGAGGTGCAGCAAAGGGGAACACAGCTGGGCTTTCTGCCCTCCAGGCCCTTGTAATCTACAGAGAAAGATGGCTGTGGGACCAATAATAACAAAAGTGATGAGAGGAAATTGAAAAACAGCCCAAATGGGGAAGTTCAGGGTGCTCTGGAGGATTTGGGGAACTGTTCTCCAAATTCTGATTTTAAAATATGCATTACTCACTCTTTGAAATGTTCTTTCCTGTGGTCACATATTATTAGGATCAGAGAAACATGGCTGCAGTCAGCTGTTGATTGTTTAGAAAAAAATATATGCCTAATATTCTTAAAATTGAACAATAAACACTGGCCTTGAGACTAACACTGTGGGAAGAATATCCCTTTTCTGAAAATATAAGTCTCGATGCTGCTTCTCCTAAAGTGTCTTTCAGAGGACATGAAAGTGTCCTGTAAATGATAATTATTTATCATAATTATTTTAACTGTCGAGCTCAAGCAAATCCCCAAATTGTGAGTGAGATTATGCTTTATTTTAATCCCACTTGTCACTTCTCTCCATCAAAGGAAACTATCCATTAAATCACATTGTTAACCTAACATACTTATATGTGATACTACAAATTCTTTCTAAATTTCATTCAGTTTATGTTAAGCAGCTCTACTAGGCAGAAGCTATTAAAAAGCAAAAGTGTTATGTTTGGTGTTGCCTTAACAAATTGACCCCATCATCTACGGCCACATGCCATTCTTCTACAGTAATGTAAGCCAGGGGAGAAGGAATAAATACAGCCCGAGCCGGTGTTGCTCAGTGGATAAAGCATCTGCCTGTGGACTAAAGGGCCCTGGGTTCAATTCCGGTCAAGGGCATATGCCCGGGTTGCATGCTCAATCCCCAGTAGGGAGCGTGCAGGAGGCAGCCGATCAATGATTCTCTCTCATCATTGATGTTTTCATCTCTCTCTCCCTCTCCCTTCCTCTCTGAAATCAATAAAAATATATATATGTTTTTTTTTTTTTAAAAAGAAAAGGAACAAATACAACATGGCCAGTGAAGCACTCAATAAAAATATATTTAAAAAAAAAAAGAAAGAAAAGGAACAAATACACATGGCCAGTGAAGCATTGGATTCACAAAAGTTTGTCTTGAAACTGGGAAGGACATTTAGAATTCGCATGCGTTCCAGTTTTCAGACTCAAAACACGGTACAGAATGTGCACAGCTGCTTTATACAGGCCCAGCGGTTTAAAAAGGTTTTGTGCTTGCTGCTCCTGTAAGTAGATCCCTGTTATATAACGAGCGGATCGCCCACTTTCGGGGTGTTCTGTCTCTGACAATAGTTGTTAGCTGAAATGTGGTTCCAGTTTCACCCGCTGGAGGATGGATGAAGGAAGCAGCCCCAGGATGGGCTGCAGGCTCCGTGGTCCCGATGGAAGCCAGCCAAACAAGACTGCAGTGCCTGGGAGAGCTGAGGAGAGCACAGCTTTGAAAGGGGATAGTGTAAGGGCTGGGGCGCTGGGCTCCAGGTTAAAGGTCAGCGCAGGTCCCAGCTCTCCCTCCTCTAAGCTGAACGTCCTTGGCAAGTGCCTCAGTCCCCGCATCTGCCATGGGAAGCAGTGCTGCCGCTTTCACACAATTGTGAAAAAAGTTTAAATATGATGTTAATCGTTAAAAGTACCTTTTTGACTGGAAAATGGTGATGAAATGGTAGCTATAGTTTTCTGAATTTATTTCCTTAGGAATCTACTGGATAACAACTCCTGGAACTTAGGCACATAAGTCACAGACACATATTTCTCAGGGTGATTCCTCAAAATGACAAAGATTGCCTTTATTTGGTACCTACTTAAAGCACTGGTGGATTTATTTTATTGAATCCATGTCATCCTCAAAGAGGTCCAAGTTATTCATCTACAAAAGGCGGTGTATGTTCAAATCCTTAAAACACACACACATAACAGTTCTCCTTCCTGTCTAACAGGCCTGAGCCACACATACACAATCATAATCAAACACAAAAGCGCCAGAAAAAAAGATATTTTGGTAACAGATTTATTTTATTCTAGCTCTTTTAAGAGCCTTTTAACAATTTATAATAGAGCCTTTAATTTAAAAATGTTTACAACACTTAAAGCAACTTTTCCCTTGAGGAGTGTAATAGTATAGACATGTAAATAAAACAATAGATTTAAAGAAGCACTTTGATATGGATGATTCATGATGTACATGTATGTCTGCCTGTTATTTGTCAAACAGCAGGATGTGCTCAGGATCAGAGACTACAGGCATTTCTCCTTCAGGGAGCCCCCAGCCTGAGAGCAGCAGGGAATTACAGTAGATCGGGATGCGTGCTCTGACAGCGAGCACCTAAAACCAGGCTGGAGTCCAGGATTGGTCAAGGATGGCACCTTTAACTTTAAGACAAGAGTGAAAGTTAGGCAGTTGTGAAGTTTTCCAGGCAGAAGGAACCCCAGGTAGGAAGGTGTGCTATCAGAAAGGAAAATGGCCCATCAAGGCAACTGCAAACAGTATCGGTGGAACTGGAGGAACAGATTTGGTGGAGAAGGAGAAAGAGAAATGAAGCTTAGAGGGATGCAGGAAACACACCCTGAAGGACCTTGGATGCCACACAAATGAATTTGAACTTGATCCAGGAGCTAATAGTTAACTGTTGATGAAAATCGACTAGAAGCTACGTACGGAAGTGAGTTTTAGATGGATCAACCTGGGTGGATGTGGACAGTAGAATGGAGATGCACCAATTCAGAGCCAGGGAGGGAGTTAGGGACAGAGTTGCTGTCAGAGCCAGGCCCAGACTCGAGCTGCAAATGGGAGAGACAGCAGGGGGATGGTGGCCACCTGGACAGCACCGCTCCACATACAGGAGGCAGCCTCTCCCCTGTTAGAGTTGCTGCGACCCTGTGGACACAGCGTCCAGGCTTCCTTCCCTACCTTCTGATTTGCAGGAGAAGCCATGAATCTGGATTCTTACCAAATCTCCCTGTCTCGGTGAAGAATAATTTAATCAATTTGAAACACTGTATAAACCAATCTACAGGTGTACGGGCTGCCAGTGTACAGCCTGGGAATGGGGGAAGGCACTGTAATGAGAATTTGCACCAATGCTGTGGCAGGGGCATGCGTCAGTAGAATGTCATTTTTACATAAGCAGTAGTTGATAAGGAGAGAAGAAATAGCAAATAAATATCAAGTCTTTAGCTTAGGTGAAAGACGGATAATGCTTTATCATTTTTTCCTAAGTTCATTTGTCACCCTCGATTGCTTTTTAAATGTTGAGTTGAAAGAGACTGGGATATACTCATTCAACTGTGTATGTGAGTCAGGAGCTTATAAATACACCCACGTTTGAGAATGAGCGGAGAAAAACTATAAACGAGAAAGACTGAATGACTAGAGGGCTGGGTGGAGAGCAGAGAGATGAAAGGCAAGTGTTTCCAGAAAGGATGGCCGGTGGCATGGATGCTACTGAGCGGTCAAGCCAGAGAAAGGCTGGAACATACTCCTGTTATTTCGTAGGGAAGAGCCACTGATGATGAGGCAAGAACAATTGCAGTGGACTGGTTAGGACTGAAGCTCAACTGGGCATTTAGAAGTTGATTGAGGGTGAGAAAGTGAACATATCAAGTGTAAACTACCATTTTCAGAAGCTGCATTATGAACTAAAAGGGAGGAAAGTAAGAAATGGTGATTACAAATGTGTATACAGGTATATACACATGTAACGACCCATCAATAATTTGTGAAATTTCTAATATATGATATCCTGCAAGAAAATAATTATGAAAGAAAGACTATTTGCAGGGGTTTTCAGAGGGAAAAGATTTGACTCTGTGCTGAGGAGAAAGTCAGGAGAGAGGGAGAGGATGTTAAGGGACCGAGCCCTTGAAAGCAAAGATGGATGGGATTCTAGGAGGGTGAGCCTTAAGCAAGGAAACTGGCCAGAATAAGAAAAAGGTGAGTCTGAATACAGACATACTTTTGGAAATTTCAGAATGTTAGGAGTATCTCTTGGGTGGCTTCATTGCGTGTCTGTACGCATGTGTGTGTATGGGGGCATGCACATACATGCATCCTTTAAAGTAAAATTATATTGAGTTCTGGTTGGGGTTTTCCAAGTGAGTGAAGCAGAGGTCAAATGGACAGAGGAAACGAAGCTGTTGGCAAAAGAAATGTTTAAGTAACTTTAGATGTCGCTGGTGCATGGGGGTTGAACCAAGTCAGTGCTGACAGGCTATCATGTTCAAGGGTATGGAGGACTGAAGTGGGTTGGAGGTGCATGAGGATGAATGAATATGAGCTTTTCCAAGGACTGGAGAATACCAAGGTCACCGACCAAGGAGGTGACAGGGCTAGGAAAGGAGAGGAACCCGTCTCCATGTCCCAGTGCCATCAGTAAATGTTAGAGACTTATTTGGAGCCTCAGCAACAGCAACAACATAGTTAGGTCTCCTGGCCCTTCACCTGGGACTGTAGTGAATCCTCAGAAGCACCCAGTGCTGCGCAGAGGAGGGACCAGTGCAGGAGATGGGAGTGACTGGCCCCAATTATATGACTACGTAGGAGGAGAATGCCAACTGGACCTCAGGTGTCCTGGCTTCTCAGGTGTCAGACTGCTGTCTGCATTCATGCCACTACAGGACCCTGCCTCTCTCCCCTACTGACCCCAACCACCAGGCCCCTTCCTGCTATGGCCGTGGTTTCTCGGGCAGCTGGGACCTTCTTCACTACATTTTACCAAGACATTATTATCCATAAGGTTCAGGTATTTAAAATTAACATAATTTTATTCAATAACATAACTGTAAAAGGAGTGAACTTTATGATAGCAATACCCAGAATCTAAACATTACTCACCAATTCAACTTCTATTAATATACAAATAACCACAGAAACAAATGGAAACACCTGACTTATATGTCTTGATATAATAGATCCTATTGTCAATATTAATAAAATATATAATATGACTTATAACCCAAGGAATAAGAATAATTCAAGGGCCTGATTTTTTATCATTCACTTTGATTACTTTTTTGTGTACTTTCCAGGAATTGATTAGAAGGGAACCTTTTTTATTTGTTTCTTAGAGTAGTTTTAGCTTCCCTATTTTTTCCCATTTTTAAAGTGAAAATATTTAAATTAATTTCCATGAAGAATGAGCTCTCAAATATGGAAGATCTGGCTATCCCTGAAAAATGACTTTCTGTAGATTTAATTTTACTTAAAGCAAATTATTCAGAACTTTAAGCAATGCATTAAGCAGAATTTTAGAAAAGGTTCAGAAAAGATTACTTAGGGTTTTTGTTTGTTTTGCTATAGTAGTTAATCTTTAAATACGTGTACCACTTCAATCCTTTGTATTTCCATTTTACCAAATACAAAATAAGAATGAGTTTTGACAACTTTTATTGCTAAATTTGTTGATTTTTTTTAACATAAGCTGAAATTCTAAAGCAACTATAATGTGCTTTGATACGACTTCTACATTCTTCTTGCCACAAGAATTTACTCACTTTAATAGTCTGTAGCCCCGCCCTAGCCGATTTGGCTCAGTGGATAGAGTGGACTGAAGAGTCCCGGGTTCTATCCAGATCGAGGGCACATGCCCTTCAGTGGATAGAGTGTAGGCCTGCGGACTGAAGAGTCCGGGTTCTATCCAGATCAAGGGCACATGACCTGGTTCTGGGCTCAATCCCCAGTGGGGGGGCGTGCAGGAGGCAGCCAATCAATGATTCTCTCTCATCATTGATGTTTCTATCTCTCTCTCCCTCTCCCTTCCTCGCTGAAATCAATAATAATAAAAATAGTCTGTAGCCCCTGGGACAGGTGTGAATCCCCCCCCCCCTCCAGACAGACAGCACGCAGAGCCTGTGAACCCACACTCTGTCTTCCCCTTGACTCCAGCGCTGTGCTTTGCCCGCACAGGATATTGCTTATTACCAAGCCTTGTCTGCCGAGAGGTTGCAGACCGATGCCGCAAGGATCCAGCTGCCACCCCAGGAGTTCTATGAGCCAGGACTGGAGCCCTCAGCGACCGCTATGCTGGACAACCTGCAGCGTTCCTGGGAAACTTTAAAGAACGTGGTAAGTCATTGAAACGTGGGCCGGTTTGAGCCCACCAGACACCGGTGACCTTCGTGGTTGCCTTTTGCAATCCACACAGAGAGTTTACACATGCCCTGCACCGCTGACCACCCTCTATTGGGCCACAGAGGGAAAGCAGTGAGGAAAGCAGTGTCATAACCTAGAAGATAAAGGGCGAGGAAGCGTTTGGTAATATCCCTTTTCTGCTTTAGATCAGTGAAAAGCAGCGCACGCTCTACGAAGCTCTGGAACGCCAGCAGCGGTACCAGGACTCCCTGCAGGCCATCTCCACGAAGATGGAGGCCATCGAGCTGAAACTCGGTGAGAATCTGGAGCCGGGCCGGAGTCCAGAGAGCCAGATGGCTGAGCATCAGGTAAAAATAGCGGTGACTTCAGTTTCCTGCATGACTTCATAGGTGCACTCTTGTGACTGGTCACCGGCCAAGCGTGTGTGGGAGAGCAGACTGACATTTTTTTACTGTATCAGTTCTCACCGAGTAAACAAGGTTCCAAATGCTGGTGGTTTCCACTCCTGCTTCAGGGAGGGATCGAAGAGGGAAAGAAAGAAAGTCAGACCTTGAACCTAATGAAAAGATGCTGCATGCATTGCTGTTGCTTTTTTTTTTTTTTTTTTGACCATTGTAATTTTTTTAATTCTTTTTTTTATTATTGCTTAAAGTATTACAAAGAGTATTACATATGACTCCTTCTTTTTCCTCCCCTTGACATTCCCCCGGCCTCCCCTACCCCCCAGTGTCTTATGTCCATTGGTTATGCTTATATGCATGCATACAAGTCCTTTGGTTGATCTCTTACCCCCACTTCCCGCCCTCCAACCCTCCCCAGCTTTCCCTCTGTAGTTTGACAGTCTGTTCGATGCTGCTCTGCCTCTGTATCTATTTTTGTTATTTTTATTATACAAAGTGTAGTTCCTTTTATTTTTTTAAAATCTTTATTGTTGACAGTATTGCATATGTCTGTTCCATGCCTGTATTTCCTTTATTTTGTTGTAAACTGTTGTAAGAATAAGACACCCTTCCATCTACCTTCTCTTGGTATTGCTGTTCTAAGAAACTTAACCATGTGCCCAGCACCTCCTATTATCACTTAAGAGAATAGCTCTCAGACTTCAATGGGCAAAGAAACAGTTGAAGAGTAAGGGCTTCTAAGTTATAATCTTGTGCTTGTTCTTGCCTTGAATTCCTTTTTAAAAGGTTACGTAAACTAGGCAAAGCTATAACATTCTATGAGGAAGAGATAGTTATTTCAACCTAACCCAGAAAGCTATGGTTTAAAATGCATCAATTTAAAATGCATGATAAGAAAGTGCATATGTTAAAATCTGGGTCACCCTTTAGCATTTTATCAGGTGCACTATTAATGCACGATCAGGTATAAGGGAGGTGCAAGGGTACGAGGCTTACATTCACCTAAATATTATCACCATGATGTGGGGAAGTGCTGTCTGCCCCGACCAAAGCTCAGGGGCATGTGGCAGCCCTATAGAAAGCAGAAGAAAAGGAAAATATTTTTAGATGCAAATTAAGAGCTATAAAAGCATGACATGCTATGTGTATCTACCAAGTACACATTTATCTTTCCCCTAATTTGCATTTGTGTAGTTTCAGAACCTTGGAATATCTTGTTTGTTCATGTGTGCGGTCTAAGGTGAAATGGCATTCTTTTACAATATAGGAGCTTGCAGTATAACATAAAAATAAAGGTATTTTATCTAGAGACAGCATACTGAGAATATGACTTCAGGTTTTTGACACTTCTGTGACTTTGTAAGATAGAGATCAAAGTGCCTATCATCCATTTGAGGCCTTATTTGGGGTCTTTCTGTTTCTCAAAGTCACCCCTAGTCAGTCTGGTTTGGGGAGGGTTCCATACATAAATATATAAAATTAAAATTAACCTCTGTTTACCTAAACCAAACCAATCGTGAGGATAGTCAGGGACTTTGGTGACTATTACAATGTGGTTTTCCCTGAGCTCCACAGTCCTCTTTAACTGACGCCCCAGTTTTCTGATTGTCAGGGCCACCTCGTTGTCATCTGAAGGGGTTTTTCACGCAGCCTCAGTGTGCTCCTGGGGCTCTGTCTACAGTGTTGCAACCCTCACCCCATCACCCATGCTTCCCCGTCCCTGGAGGGGACCTCTCTCTATTCCATCACAGCTCCCTTTGAGCTTCCAAAGGAATTTGGCATAAATTATCCCAAGGCTGCCCTAGCCAGTTTGGCTTAGTAGATAGAGCATCTGCCTGTGGACTGAAGGGTCCTGGGTTCTGATTCCAGTCAAGGGCATATATCTGGGTTGCTGGTCCAATCCCTGGCCCTGGTCGGGAATGTGCAGGAGGCAACCAACGATGTATCTCTTTCAGATCGATGTTTCTCTCTCTCTCTCTGTCTCTCCCCCTTCCTTCCACTGTCACTAAAAATCAATGGAAAAATATCCTCAGGTGAGGATTAAAAACAAAACAAAACAAAACTCTAATAAATTATCTAAAGGCTGGAATAGAGTGAATTTGAGTGTCACTCGCTTAGATTAGCAGAAGCCCATGTTTCTGGAGAGGATCACACAGCTCACCTCTCTCTCCTTCCGGGTCCTCTCTGCCTTTGTTCAAGGCTCACCATTCTTATGTCCCAGGTGACTGACCACACCCTCCCCCCCAAAAAAAACAAACAAACAAAAAACAAACCCTTCCCTAGGTCCCACAGGACTTAGGATCTCTGTGAAAACAGGATCCTGGTGATTTGCCCTGGTGATCTGCCTGGTGACATTATAGAGCTGCTGATTGAAAATGCAAATTAGCTCCCAGTCACCACAACCTTGCCTCCAGGCATTCCCATGAAAACACACACAAGCTAAGCATAGAGCAAATTATTATTTTGTTCAATGGATTTAATGGAGAAAACTCAAAATTGTGTATTAATGCTAAGTATTGTAAATTAGAAATGAATCTGTAACTTTTCTTGTAATGAGGACCAACCATGTGACTTTTTCTCTTTCTAAGTTGAGAGTGGTAATGCTAGCAATCATAGCAATGAGGAGAGGAAGCTAATTCAATGATGACTGCCGATTTGAGCTTAACAATTATGTTAATGCTCTAATGCAGTGGTTCTCAACCTTCTGGCCCTTTAAATACAGTTCCTCATGTTGTGACCCCAACCATAAAATTATTTTTGTTGCTACTTCATAACTGTAATTTTGCTACTGTTATGAATCATAATGTAAATATCTGATATACAGGATGGTCTTAGGCGACCCCTGTGAAAGGGTTGTTTGACCACCAAAGGGGTCGCGATCTACAGGTTAAGAACCGCTGCTCTGAGAGGGAAAGAAGTATAAGTAATGTGTAATGTCTCATGTAATCACAAATCTGACATTTTCCATCTGACCTACTTTTTGCTGTCAGAATCTGTGTTCTACAAATTCTGGGACAGAGCCGCCCACATGAAAAGCTCATGGTATCACAGCGTCTAAATTGGTTCTTAGCTTCTGGAATGGTACTTAAAAAATTCCAAGCACTGCCCGGCCAGCGTGGCTCAGTGGTTGAGCATCAACCTATGAACCAGGAGGTCACTGTTTGATTCCCAGTCAGGGCACCATACCCGGGTTGCGGCTCGATCCCCTGCAGAGGGTGTGCAGGAAGCAGCCAATCAATGATTCTCTCATCATTGAAATTTCTCTCTCTCTTTCCCTTCCTCTCTCTCTAAAATCAATAAAATAAATTTTAAAAAATGTCCAAGCACTACTGTAGAATCACTGTTTCTAAATTCCAGCTGAATGTGGGTGAGAAAGTCCAGTACGTTTTTTATATTTCCTAGAAATTAATACAAACACTTCAGTTGTTATTTCTTCCCCAACACTCGCTCAGAAGCATTCATGTTTCTTTTGAGAACTAACTGAATTCCTACATTATTCCTTTAAACTTTTGTCCAACTCTACTGAATTTGGGTGGAATACTGTGACTTTCCTGTTATCTTCTATACATTGTTTGACAGATTACATTTGAAGACATTCACAGGCTCATACGCTGGCTTGTGGCTGTTGTTCTGAGCATTCAGCCCTCTGTGATGGGACCTCCATTGTCATAGGCAGCTAACTCTTTGTGGGAATGTGTGGTCTCTGCCTCACCAAGCTCAGTGATGGCTAGTAGACAGAGCTCTGAGGTTATTTTGTTTTGGTGTTAATATGTACAGCCACTCAACATTTGAAATGAACTATGCTGCTGTAGATCGTTCTGAAAGTCACAATGAAATTCATGTTTACATTTGGTGTTGAACCAAACCATGTTCTCTCTAGAGTGAGTCATTTTAGAGAAGCTCAAGGTAGGTAGTTCTCTAAACCACGAAAGTGTCATGCACACGCCCTGCTTCTCACCACAAGTCAGAAGCCCAAAGACTTGCCTTTCATCTTCCTCTCCTTAGTTTTGAGTCAGACATCCTGGGGAAGCAGCTGGCCACCAGCCGAGACAGGGCTATGGGGTGAAGGCCTATTTGACTGCTGTCTGGATCTTTTTGTAATAAAATTGAAGTGAAATTCACATCCTATAGCAGTAACCATTTTAAAGTGTATGATTCTGTGGCATTTGCAAAAACATTTTATCACCCTTAGAGAAAACCCCAGGAAGCTTGGCTGTGAAAAACTATAGCTGTCTTCCAAAAATATCCGCTCTCCCTTGAGAGTAAACAGAAGCATGAATAGGGAGGCTCCACTCTCACAGGATGAAACTTAACCGTGCTAGAATCTTTCATTTCCTAGTTCTTTCATTACGTCTTCAGAGCATTCAGGGAGCTACCTCAGAACCTTGCGAGCTGGAAACGGAAGCTGGTGACTTCACTCTACCCTTGATTGGTCAAAGCGACTGAGATTAAATGAGGAGGCTTTTGTTGTTGTTGTTGTTGCTTCATGATTCAGATACATGTTTTCTCTGTGAAGAGTAAGAATGAATTCAACCAGATCTGTTGAGCATCTACTATGTGCACAGCTGAAATAGATGAACTTTTTTCACTAATTTGTGGTTTTAAAAACCTACTATAGGGTGGAGTGGATTACCAAGATACTGTACCAAAAAGAAAATTTTAAAAAAGTGATTGTGGGCTACAGCAGTGGGAAGTAGCTAGAAGGAACCTCTTGCAGGTCTTTGGGGAGAGGCAGATTTTGAAAATTTGGAATGGCAACAGGAGTGGATAGAAGGCACTATAAATGTACTTGTGAGGAAAGCCACAGGTGTGCAATAGCGAGGGGGCTATTCTTGCTCATACCGAGGGTCAATGCAGAAAAAGACAATGCGGTCCAACTAGTTATGGAGAAGCCTTTAAATTAAACAGACCAAATAATGCAAATGTTATATTTTTGGCAATCAAATAACAAGAAGTTATTATAAGGTAGTATGAAATAATTTACTGGACAAAAAGCATCTTTAAAAATATAATTTTATTGATTTCAGAGAGGAATGGAGAGGGAGAAAGAGATAGAAACATCAATAATAAGAATCATTGATTGGATCAGCTGCCTCCTGCACTGGGGATGTGCCCTGACCTGGAATCCAACCGTGACCTCCTGGTTCATAGGTCAACCCTCAACCAGTAAGCCACTCCGCCCAGGCCAAAAAGCATTTTGAATGTATAGGAAGCAAGATCAGTCTGTAATTCATTACAATCCAATTATAATATCCCAGTAAGTTCTTTGGTGGAGACTGACAAGCTAATTCTAAAATATATGGCAAATGTATGAAAAGATATATATTGAAATTTGAAAGGGTCAAGAATAGCCAATGCAACCTTGAAGAAGATGAGTAAAGTTGAAGGATGTATCATTTAGAGTGAGACTTACAACGCTATAGTGTGTATGGGAGTGTGGTATTGGCACAGACAGACAGCCAAAGGGTCCATGGAACAGAATTGGAAGGCAGAAGCACACTCACATCTACACAGACACTTGGCTTATGTCAAAAATTATACTGCAAAGCACTGAGTAAAAAATCATTTTTAATAAGTAATGCAGGGTTAGTTGGCTATCCAGATAAAAAATTGTTGACCCCCCTACCTACATTGGACACAAAAATTAAGTTCAGGTGGATTGTAGATCTAAATGTGAAGGGAAAATAAAACGTTTTCCAACAGTGCTTCTCAAACTATCTGTAGTAAATAACCTTTAAAAAATTTATTTAAACTTTCTAGCCCATCACAAACCATTATCTTTGTAACATAAAATAAAATAAAATAAAATAAAATAAAATAAAATACTTCTTGGATATCAGGTCAATGTCAGGTTGCTATAAAGTTTCCTAACATTTACCTATTTTATCGTCACCCGGTCATGAACTGGCAACAAACATTTTGCAGACTAATGCCATTTTTTTCGACCACACTTTGAATAGCATTCTTCTAGAAGAAACATATGAAAATATGTTCATGACCTTGAGGTAGGCAAAGATCACTTAAATAGGACACCAAAAGCCCTAACATTTTGTTGTTGTTGTTAATCCTCTCCTGAGGATATTTTTCCATTGATTTTTAGAGACAGTGGAAGAGAGAGGGAAAGACAGAAAGAAACATCAATGTGAGAGAAACACATCAATTGTCTGCCTCCTGCACAAGCACTGACCAGGGCATGGGCCAGGGAGGTGCCTGCAACCAAGGTACGTGCCCTTGATCAGAATCGAACCCGGGACCCTTTGGTCCGCAGGCCGACACTCTATCCACTGAGCCAAACCAGCAAGGGCACCTAACTTTTTTAATAGAGGAAAATGCTGGTACATCAAACTACCAAAAGGGACCATTAAGCAAGTCTTTTCCCATTAAGGGACACCCAGATTACAACATGGGGGCAGATATTTGCAATACGCAGAACCAAAAGAGACACAGGCACTCTTATCCAGAGGAAACAAACAACTCCACACCTCAGCAAGAAAAGGGCAGGATCCACTAGAAAATGGGCAGGAGGTTTTTAGCGGGCGGTCACCAAAGAGGATGTTCAGGTGGCCACAAACATAGGAAAAGCATTCAATCTCATTAGTCATCAGGGAGATGCAGATTCAAAAGACAATGAGATCACCTCTATGAACCCACTAGAAAGGCTGACATGGAAAAGATCTACAAACCACGTGACCGTGGAATATGCTACAGCGATGAAGATGATCAGCTCTTTGTACATGAGGCAGCACAAGAGACTTTCACAGTCCCGAGAGGGAGTGGAAGAAGCCAGACACGAAGCAGTACATCAGGGGTGATTCCACTATCCAGAGCCCACACAGGCAAAAATAACCCGGACGTTTACCAGCCAACACCCTGGCTGGCGATCCTTGGGAAGGAGGGAGAGACTGACAGGGAGCAGGATCAGGGGGCGTATAGTCCTGGGCGTGTTCTCCTTCTTGCTCTGGGGGGTGGGAGCATGGGTGTGTGCAGTTGGTGAGACTTCATAGAGCTGTGCATTTAGTGTGTTCACTTCCTAGGTGTATCTACTAATATCAGTGTCATCGCATCTGTAAAAATCCGGTTAAACCTGATGACACTTGATATTAGGGAAAGAGAAGTTCTACTTATTTGTTTTGTTAATATTTGTTGAGAGCCTACAGGAGAAGGCACCGTGCTCACAGGGAAGCCTGCAGTCCTGTGAAAAGATGGGGATTAGGCACATGGGGTCACTGGGAACTATGAAACACTGGCGAATACAAAGCCCCTTCTGCAGTAAGGCCTGTTTTCTAACACACATTTAAATCCCAAGTAAGACTCCCTCCTGCCATGATTACAGCTACACAGCAAGTCATAAAGCATGAAAAATGGAAAATAAAAACCATGTATAATTGTGATTGACGTTAATCGGGAAAACAGGGTGCTTGCTACTTTACAGAAATTGCTGAGCATGGATGGACCTGGAGAGCATTATGCTAAGTGAAATAATCAGAGGGAGACAAATACCATATGGTTTCACTTATATGTGGAATCTAATGGACAAAATAAAATAGAAACAGATTCATAGATACAGAGAACAGACTGACAGCTGTCAGAGGGGAAGAAATAGAGGGGCTAGGTGAAAAAGTTAAAGGGATTAAGCAAAAAAACAAAACAAAAAAACAGCCCTAGCTGGTTTTGCTCAGTGGATAGAGTGTCAGCCTGTGGACTGAAGGGTCCCTGGTTTGATTCCAGTCAAGGGCACATGCTGGGGTTGCAGGCTCAATCCCCAGTTGGGGTGTACAGGCGGCAGCGATCAATGATTCTCTCTCATCATTGATGTTTCCATCTCTCTCCCTCTCCCTCTCTGAAATCAATAAAAATATATTTCAAAAACAAAAAAATAAATAAAACCTCATAGACAACAGTATGGTGATTATCAGAGGGAAAGGGAGGATCAGAGCGTGGGTAGGAGAGGGTAAAGGGAGCATAAAGGTGGCAGAAAGAGACTTGACTTGGGGTGAACACATAATACAATATACAGATGACATATTATAGAATTGTACCCCTAAAACCTATATAATCTTATTAACCAATATCACCCCAATAAATTCAATAAGTAAATAAGTAAATAGATTGCTGAGGGTCCTGGAGTCACTAATATGAAGGCAAGAATATAGGAGCTGGAGAGAGTGTAGTATAAGAGGCAGGCAGGGGTAAGGCCAGACAAGTACGTGGGAAGGAGCTTGGATTTTACTTTACAGGTGATAAGCCACTAAGTATCTTAATGCAGGTGAGTGAGAGGGTCTGATTTACCTTTTTAAAAGCTCGCTCTAATCACTTGGTGAAGAGGGGATTGGAGAGACGAGAATGTGAGCAGGTAGCCCCAACACTAGGCTCTGACTGAGGGTGGAGCGGAGGAGATACACAGGCACACAAGTAAGCATTTGGATTTGGTGTGGGATTGGATTGAGCCAGTGAAGTAGAGAAAGTGTGAGGAATGGCCCCTGGGTCTGGAGGTGGAGCTATGCCCAGAAGGGCGGCTCCTTTACTGAGGTGGAGAAGGAAGGGGAGGAGGCAGGCTCCACACGTCATAGGATGGAGATACCTATGAGATGTGTAAGTTGAATATAGGAGCCTGTTGTTAGGATGGATGTCTGGGTTAGGGATGCACCTTTGGAGGGGTTCAGCCTTGGAAACCATTGAAAGCCTTGGGAATGGCCCTCACCTGGGACAGATACAGAGCGAGGAAAGAGGGGCTGGAAATCAGCCTTGTGAAACGGCAAATGTTAGCTTGGGAAGCAAAGGAGAAAAATGAGAGGGTGGTGACATTCGAACAGGTGACAGATGGCTCCCATCTTGTATAATGTGAGTTTGGGATTAAAACGCATAGCTATCTCAAACCTGGGGAACTTGGGAGTGGGAATGGGAAAAATCGTGTGGAGGAAGAAAGTGATGAATTTTATATTCAACATAGAATTGTAGATGCGAGCATGAATTGAGCATGCCCCCACCCCCTAGATCAGTGATGGCGAACCTTTTGAGTTTGGCGTGTCAGCATTTTGAAAAATCCTAACTTAACTCTGGTGCCGTGTCACATAAAGAAATTTTTTGATATTTGCAACCATAGTAAAACAAAGACTTATATTTTTGATATTTATTTTATATATTTAAATGCCATTTAACAAAGAAAAATCAACCAAAAAAACGAGTTTGCGTGTCACCTCTGACACGCGTGTCATAGGTTCGCCATCACTGCCCTAGATTATAGATGAGCCTATTGAAAACCAGAAAGATTCATACACTTTATCCCCTGAGCCAAACCGGCTAGGGCGCAGAAAGATTCATGAACTTGTTCAAATTCATTTAATTTAATGACACACGTGGTTTTGAAATCAGAACTTTTCTGACAGGTCGTCTGGGACTTTCATGTTGGAACTTGTGTTCGTAGGCCCCCTATCTGCTGGTTAAATGGCTTTGAGTGAAATATATCCACTCATCTCAACTGATGGGAGACTGAGCTGGTGACAGGATTTCTCAGTCCCCAGAAATCCGGACTTGAGTGTGATTCCCGTCTTTCCCGCAGGCACTGATGGATGAGATCCTCATGCTCCAAGATGAAATCAGCGAGCTGCAGGCATCCCTCGCGGAGGAGCTGGTGTCTGAGTCCCCGGAGTCTGACCCCGCGGAGCAGCTGGCCTTGCAGTCCACGCTCACTGTCTTGGCGGAGCGCATGTCCACCATCAAGATGAAGGCGTCAGGGAAACGACAGCTTTTGGAGGTAACATAACTCGGAAGCCCCACATGTCCATGTCCCTTAGAGTTGTGTTGACAAGTGTCTGGGTTACTTTGTGACGTACAGTTTTTCTTTTAAAAAAATATTTATTTCTATTTATTTCAGAGAGGACAGAAGAGGGAGAGAGAGAGAATCATTGATTGGCTGCCTCCTGCATGTCCCCTACTGGGAATTGGGCCGAAAACCTGACTGGGAATAAAACTGTGATCTGATTCATAGGTCAATGCTCAACCACTGAGCTACAGGGGCTGGGCATGATGTACAGTTTCATTGTTCCTCACACATGAGGAGCTGGTACTATGTCTCAGGGAGGGTCTCATGAATGGAGCACTGAGTCAGTGTGTAGCCAGAAATGCATCTTCTCACCTCTTTTTGCCTCATTTCAGCATGAAAAGTTGAGAATATAGAAAGCAAATAGTTGGTAGACATGGGCTTTATGAAGAATAGCTATGGAAGGTTTGCACAGTGGTTTGCTATCCTATATAATAAAAGCCTAATATGCAAATCAACTGAATGGCGGAATGACCAGCAGAACAACCAGTGGAAAGACCAGTTGCTATGATGAGCACTGACCACCAGGAGTCAGATGCTCAATGCAGTAGCTGCCCCCAGCCCACAGGCCCCAGGCCGGCCAAGGCGGGTGCCAGCGGGGCCCCCCCCTCCCCCCGATCGCCCTGCTGATTGCCCCACAGATCAGCCCTGATCGCCAGCCAGGCCTATGCACCCTACCTGTGCACTAATTTTGTGCACCGGGCCTCTAGGGTTTAAATAAGAGCATATTATGAATACTATTACTAATGCTGTGAAGAATAAATCTTTAGTCAGTGTTAGCCAGTTCAAGCACCCTGATTCATGAAAGTTTATTTTTGCTTTATTCTCTCTTATCATTTCTGGCCCTAAATGTATAGGACATTAGACCTGAGACTCCACAAAATCCTTTAGAATATCTGGCTCCTTGTACCTCTGGGATAAAATCAGTTCTCAATACATTTCTTATTACACGAACTTAATATTATTTTATTTGGCTGATGATTATACTATAATTCAATTAAACATGGTCCTATTGTTGGGTGTGTAGGCTCCTTCTAGTTTTACCTGTTATAAGATTAGTCAGATAATATATTCATGTATTTCTTGTTCAGAATAAATTTAAAATCAATGTGTCTGCTTTATTTAAAGTTTATGTTAAACTATTTTTCATGTAATTTAAAAATAATAAGTTATTTATAAAGTAATTTTAAAATAAGGTATTTAGAGTACCTTATTTTAAGAATTAACTTTTTAATGTATTAATATTATCCCCAATCATTCTATGAAACATTTGTGGAGTTTCAAAATTAAAATTAAGTGATTGGCTTGGTGTGTTTTTTTTAATATGAATTATTTGCCATCATTGAAAAAAACCACACAGAGATCTAACAATAACAACAACAAAAAGAATTTCTTCTTTCATTCAAGAAACTAGTAACACTGGGCCACTTCTTCTTGCAGGGAATCAATTGCCTGAAATTCATGATGCTTTCTTTCTAGGTGGACCGTATGTACTTCAGTTTGTCACAGTCCCCACCGCTCCCTACAGTTTCCCCACATTGGGGTCATGTACCTATTTCCAACCCACCATCTTATGCCATTGTTTTGTTCTAATCCTTGACGAATTTTCATCATTCACATTATCTACCTGGTCCTGTATTATGTAAGAATGTTTAAACTCTAGGTGCACATTAGAATCAAAGGGAAAGATTTTTAAAAATATGAATCTTGAGACTCACCTCCAGAAATTCTGATTTATTGCTCTGGTATGTGGCCAAGGATAGTTTTTTGTGTGTGTTTTGTTTTGTTTTTGTCTTGCTTTTGAAGTTTCACAGTTGATTCTGGTGAGCAGCCAGAGATGAGATCATTGTTCTTGTGTTGAATCTTAATGATTTTACCTTCGGGCGATCTATGTGACCTTCTGCTTAATTCATTAGGAGAAGTTAAATGATCAGCTGGAGGAACAGAGGCAGGAACAGGCCCTGCAGAGGTACCGCTCTGAAGTCGACAAGCTGGACCACTGGCTCTTGAGCACTAAGGCCACTCTGGACGTCGCGCTGGGCACCTCCAAGGAGCCCATGGACATGGAGGCCCAGCTGGTGGACTGCCAGGTATGGAAATGATCTTGAAGGAACATGTCAACATCACAAAGCATATTTTCAGATGTGAAAACATAATGGTAAAAAGGCTTGATATGGATATACGATTT